GCGTTTCAGCTCCTTGAACTTCTCAGCTAGTGCCAACTGGCGCTGCTCAGCTAAATGACAGGGAGAATAAAAGACAGTGAGCAAAGAAGGAAGCCCCTATCCTTTCCCAAACCAGGTCAGTAACTCCAAGCCATATGCTGGGATACATGAGTTTAAAGCTCATTGGTGCCTTTTTTTAAACTTTGAGACGGAGTCTTACTCTGTCACTCAGGCTAGAGTGCAGTGGTGTGATCTTGGCTCACTGCAACCTCTGTCTTCTGGGTTCAAGCGATTCTCCTGCCTCAGCTTCCCAAGTAGCTGGGGTTACAGATATGCGCCACTGCACCCAAATAATTTTTGTGTTTTTAGTATAGACAGAGTTTCACCATGTTAACCAGGCTGTTCTTGAACTCCCAACCTCCAGTGATCCACTCTCCTTGGCCTAAAGTGCTGGGATTACAGGCCGGAGCCACAGCACTCAGCCCAACTGGTGGCTTTTTATATGATCTCAGTCCTACTCAATTTGATCAACTATGAACACCTTCTATGTGCCTGTCCCTCTATGTTTGTGTGTGTGTGTGTCTATGTGCCTGGCCCTGCGTGTGTGTGTGTGTGTGTGTGTGTGTGTGTGTGTGTTGCAAAGTAGGGAGTGTAGACCAAGAGATAAAAGTGACAATCGCTGCTGTACGTGTGTGTGTGTGTGTGGTGGTGGTAGTGGTGGTGGTGGTGGTGGTGGTGGTGGTGGTGGTGGTGTGTGTGTGTGTGTGGCGTGAAGAAGAGAGTGTAGACCAAGAGATAAAAGTGACAATCGCTGCCATGATCTAAAGAGGGATACAAGACTGGTCACAAATAATTCCTCCCTACTATTTCTACTTTCCTCCAAGTTACCATGAAATCCAGCCTTCATGCCTTCCTTAAAGGGGCTCAGGGACACCTCAACACAGGGCTCTGCCACTATGGCCCCCGCACCCCCAACCTGGTTAGCAATAGCTGTGCCCGACTCACATTTCTTCAGGAAGTATGGCCGACGGCCCTGCTGTGCCTGAGCCCGACGTTCCCGCTTCAGGGCCAGGTGCAGCTCCTGCTGTTGCTTTCGTTCCTGCTGTGCCATTTCTTGCTGGTCCTGAGGAGTGAAGATGAGATGGGTGAACGGGAGGGGCTGTGAGCATCTCCCCACCTTCCACTGCTTTCATTACCCAGACAGTTATCAGCCACTCACCATTCGGTAAAGCAGTTGCTGCAGTTTCTCATGCTCCTCTCCTGAACGGTGCTTCTTCAACTGTTTTTTCACCAGCTCCACATTGGAAAATGAGTATCATGGTTAGCATTCTGCAAATGTTAGCTGAAATTTTACGTAACGCATCATCCGAAGAGGTTCACACATATTAACTTGGTAACACCAAGATAGTAACTGTTTGTTTCTTTGTTTGTTCTGAGACAGAGTCTTGCTCTGCCCCCAGGTTGGAGCGCAGTTGTGCAGTCTTGCCTCACTGCAACCTCTGTCTCCAGGGCACAAGCGGTTCTCCTGTCCCAGTCTCCTGAGTAGCTGGACTACAGGCATGCACCACTACACGTGGCTAATTTTTTTCTTTTTCTTTTTTTTAAAGTCAGGGTTTCACCATGTTGGTCAGGCTGGTCTTGAACTCCCGACCTCAGGTGATCCGCCCGCCTTGGCCTCCAAAGTGCTTGGATTACAGGCATGAGCCACCACACTTGGCCTTAATTTTTGTATTTTTAAGAGAGACAGGGTTTCACCATGTTGGCTAGGCTGGTGTTGAACTGCTGGCCTCAAGTGATCTGCCCACCTCAGTCCCCCAAAGCGCTGGATTACAGGCGTGAGACACCGCACCCGGCCTCTAAGACCGTAATTATTATTTTCTTTCTTATAATTAGAAAACTAAAGCATAGAGACAGTAAGTAAAATGCCAATAGGCACACAGCTAGTAATTTGATGAGCCAGGATTTGAATATGAACTGAATTATAGAGTTAAATCTGCCCACCACTATACTTCCCACTCACCCTGCCCAACTCTCTAACCTGTGCCCTGATTTCCACCCCACAAAACTCCCCTTGAACCAGTCTCAAGCTGTATACCTCTTTCTCTTTCGCTCGGATGTCATTCAAGAATTGATATGTTTTGTCAAACACCTCAGGATTATATTCACCTGACAGATCATCAAAGCGAGGGTCCCGTGCTACCTTTGGAGAGAACACAAAGAATATAAAACAGAACTGTTCAGTCTCCTTTCACTGAGAAAAAGTGCTTCCTGTCTCATCCTCACCGTTTTTTCTTTTTTTGTGACAGAGTCTCACTCTGTCTCCCAGGCTGGAGGGCTGTAGCATGATCTTGGCTTACTGCAATCTCCACCTCCCAGGTTCAAGCCATTCTCATTGCCTCAGCCTTCCAAGCAGCTGGGACTACCAGCACATACCACCATGCCCAGCTAATTTTTGTATTTTTAGTAGAGACAGGGTTTCACCATGTTGGACAAGTTGGTCTTGGAACTCCTGACCTCAGATGATATGCCCACCTCGGCCTCCCAAAGTGCTGGGATTACAGGTGTGAGCCATCTTGCCTGGCCTTCTGTCTCACCTTTTTACTGACGGGAACAACCTGACGTAAAAATGGTACTCGGATCTTGGCTGACATTTCCAGAGGCCTACGGAGCAATTAAAGGCCAAGTCAAGAGGACTCCAGTATTGGTCAAAGGCTTCCCACCTGCCACCCACGACAACATACACCTATTCAAGGTCCCAGTTATCTTCCAACTACTAGGGCAAGGCTTGCTTACCTGTGCTTATCTGCAGCACGTGCATTTTGAATAGCTGGTCTAGGGCTGTGCTTCTTAGGGCCGTTTTCAGCTACCAACTGTTTGTATGCCTTAGTCCCCACTTGTCTCTGCAATTCCAACAGCTCCTCAAATGACATGTTAGATGTGCCTGTGGAAGTGGGGAGGGACATACAACTCAGCTCAGCACGTCCCACTGCAGAAAAGACATCTTCCCATCCCCATTCCTTAGCTAGCTAATCCTTTCTTTTTTTTTTTTTTTTTTTTTTTTTTTGAGACGGAGTTTCGCTCTTGTTACCCAGGCTGGAGTGCAATGGCGCGATCTCAGCTCACCGCAACCTCCGCCTCCTGGGCTCAGGCAATTCTCCTGCCTCAGCCTCCTGAGTAGCTGGGATTACAGGCACGCGCCACCATGCCCAGCTAGTTTTATATATATATATATATATATATATATATATATATTTTTTTTTTTTTTTTTTTTTTTTTTTTGAGACGGAGTTTCGCTCTTGTTACCCAGGCTGGAGTGCAATGGCGCGATCTCGGCTCACTGCAACCTCCGCCTCCTGGGTTCAGGCAATTCTCCTGCCTCAGCCTCCTGAGTAGCTGGGATTATAGGCACGCGCCACCATGCCCAGCTAATTTTTTGCACTTTTAGTAGAGACGGGGTTTCACCATGTTGACCAGGTTGGTCTCGATCTCTCGACCTCGTGATCCACCCGCCTCGGCCTCCCAAAGTGCTGGGATTACAGGCTTGAGCCACCGCGCCCGGCCAAATTTTATTTTTTAAAAAGGACTCACTCTGTTGCCCAGGCTGGAGTGCAGTGGCCTAATCACTGTTCACTGCAGCCTCGACCTCCTGGACTCAAACGATCCTCATGCCTCAGCCTCCTTAGTAGCTGGGACTACAGACGTGGGCCACACACCTGGCTAATTTTTTTGATTTTTCAGTAGAGAAGAGGTCTCACTATGTTGCCCAGACCGGTCTTGAACTCTGGGGCTTAAGTGATTCTTCCACTTCAGCCTCCCCTGGTGATGGGATTACAGGTGTGAGTCACCACACTCGGCCAGGACAGGAGTGTTTGACTACTTTATTCACAGCTCTATCTCCAGCAGCCAGAACTGTGCCTTAACAAAAAGTCTGCAGAATTTGCCAGGTGCAGTAGCTCATGCCTGTAATCTTTGGGAGGCTGAGGCGGGTGGATCACTTGAGCCCAGGAATTCGAGACCAGCTATGGCACCTGGTAATATGATGAGACCTTGTCTTTACAAAGAAAAAAACACAGAACACAACCCAGGCGTGCCTCACGCCTGTAGTCCCAGCTATTCGGGAGGCTGAGGTGGGAGGAACTCTTGGGCCCGAGAGAGTTCGACCGCAGTGAGCCGTGATCGCGCCACTATACTCCAGCCTGGGCAACAGAGAGAGACTTTGTTTCAAATTTTTAAAAATTAAATTAAATTTTTAAAAGTCTACGGAATTTGCTTAATTCTGACCTACTAAGTCTTCAGCAAACATGCATGCCTTTTCCTGCCTCCGAGCTATTGCACATGCTTTCCCTATTGCCGAAAACTCTCATCCGGCTGTGAAGAAACTTCTCAGAATGTCCGAATCCCGGAAACATCTCCTTTCATTCCCACTTTCCACTGCACTGGGGGAACCCCCAGCGTCTGCCTCTCAGAGAACTTGGCGGTCTTACCGGCGCCCAGGGCCCAGCCTGGGAGTTCTTCTCCCCTCCCCAGCCCGCCCTGCCCCGTGCCCTCACCCCTGAGCAGGTCGCGGGCCGCGAACCCGGGCTCCAGGGCCCCGCCGTCCTCCCCGTGGTCCCGGGCCCCGGGCCCGAAACGTCGGTTGGTTGCCGGCATCAGCAGGCGTAGCGTTCGGAAGACTAATGGCACCGCTTCCGCTTCCGCCAGCTCCTGCCCCGCCTCTTCCGGCGTTCCCCGGAGGGCGTCCCAACTTGGTGACGAACGGGCTGAAAACAGACTGCGCGGCCAGCGGCCTGGGAACCGGGCCAAAAGGATAGCCCGCTCCGGAGAGATTGTCGCAACCGTCTACTCGAGTCGCAGGGCGCTGGGTTCCACGCCCGAGAAGCCTGGCCCAGGCCTTGGTGGCATTTGGTTTCCTAATACCCTTGGCTGAGAAGCCAGAACCTTAGGGTGCTAGTCCTCAGCACCCTGCCCCCACTGCAAACTCCAGCCCTCTCCACCATATTCCGCAAAAACACACGGACACGTTTGGAGGTTTTAATTCATTTTTATAAAATCTGAGCTGGCTGAGCTTCAGGGTACAGCGACAGCTCAAGAAGGGTGGGATTATCTGCTGGTCCCCGCCTCCCCAAGTCAGGGAGAAGGAGGTCTCATGCCAAAAGCTGCAACTCCTTTCAGCTCCCAGTCAAGGCTCAAGGCTCAAGCAGGAGGAGGGGATAGGCGAAGTGGGAGGGGGAAGCTCCTGAGGCTCAGACACTGCTTGCTTCTCCCTTCTCCCCATTCCCTTCCCTTCCCAGCAGAACCTGGCTGGCCCTGGGCAGAGCCGAGACCCAGGAGCAGCTGAAGGGAGGTGGATGGGGACAGAGCACCAAGGGGAAGGGGCCCTCGGCCCAAGGGGGGAGGAACCTGGCCCCCACCCCCCTACAGCTCCCCACTGAATTCACAGTACAAAGAACACTTCTCGCCCAACAACTCCACATAGAGGTATACCAAGTCCAGGGTCCAAAGGAGCAGGTGGGTGACAGATGGGCAGGGGCAGTGAAGATGACAGCAGGCTCAGGAGGGGAGGTGGCAGAAACTTCCTCCTACCCATGGGAGGAGACGATGGGGCGACTGATATTGCTGTTGGTGGTCATAGCATTCAGCTCCCACCTGGAAGGCCAATGGTAACAGACAGAAAGAAGAGGGAGCCCTCAGCCCAAGCCCAGAGATGCTTGAACCAAGCCATAAACACACCAGTCCCTCTAAATTCCTAAAGCTCAACCAACCACAGCCACCTCTTACTTAGAGACCTACTAGGTTTAACAATCAGAACCACCCACTACCAAATCCACCACCACCCACTCCTCTACCTCCAAGCTCATATGGATTTCCTGTTTATGTACATATATATATATGCATATTCTAGTGTCCAGGCACCTGAGATCAGTGTATACATGTCAGTCAACATCCCAACCTGCCTTTCCTGCTGTTTAGAGCCAACCAGGCAGCCCCTCCACCTTACCCTCAACAGGAATGCCTCACCCCCACCAGAATACCAATTTTGGCTCTCAACTCGCATCCTTTTAAGGTCCTGACTTAGCTCTCCTATCCTTCTCCTGGGCCTTCCCCGCCAATCCCATCATACTATTTTTTTAAGAGTCTCATTCTGTCACCCAGGCCAGAGTGCAGTGGTGTACTGGCAGAATCTCGACTCACTGCAACCCCCGCTTCCCGGGTTGAAGCAATTCTTTGGCCTCAACCTTGAGAGTAGCTGAGACTACTGGTGGCTACCACCACACCTGGCTAATTTTTGTTATTTGTTTATTTATTTATTTTTAAAGATGGGGTTTCACCCTGATGGCCAGGCTGGTCCTGAACTCCTGACCTCAGATGATCCACCCACCTCGGCCTCCCAAAGCGCTAAGATTACAGGCATGAGCCACCGCGCCCAGCCAATTTTTGTTATTTTTAATAGAGAGAGGGCTTCACCACGTTGGCCAGGCTAGTCTCAAACTCCTGACCTCAAGTGATTTGCCCACCTCGACCTCCAAAGTGCTGGGATTTCAAGCGTGAGCCACCATGCCCAACCAGCAAAAGTTAAACTACACTGATACAAAGAGAGGAAATGTCTTAGAATGACCCAGACAGGAAAATTTATACACAAAGTAACATTTGGTGGTTAACCGGAACCTAAGAATGAAATTCAAAGGGAAGCAGCCAGATCTAGAACCAGTGTGATCCAGAGGCTCCTAAACTTGTCTTTACTTTGCAGCTAGGTTCTAAGGATTTAATCAGTTTTTCTCAGCATGTTCACAAAAACAACTGTATAAGCTCCGGTCTCAGAAAGCGATGCTGCTGAGCTGGATTTTTTTCATATAACTTATTCTGCCGACAGTTTTATATGATGGCTGTCAATTCACCTCCTTTCATCTCATTTCCCACAAGTATACTACATCTCCAGAACAAAAACCTTTGTCTCCTCCATACTGACACCAAGCTAATCAGGTCACACCTGTGCTGCTCACTCACCCTCACCCAATCCCCCACTTCCAACCACTCACTGTACCTGATATCATGGGGCAAACAGGACTGGTCCAGGTTATACTGAATCACGGCCAGTTTGCACAGAGTCTTCAGACTAGGGCCTTTAGGGGTGAAGTTGTAGAAAGGAGATGGTCAAAGCTGAGGAAAGGGTTCAGTCCTGGATATCACCACCCAAAGACAGGGACCTTGATGGCAGGAGCAATTCAGGAATAACTGTACTTACTAAAGTCCAAAATGTGTAAGTCAGAATGATCTATGAGGTCAAATTCATCTCCGAGGCCTTCCTCAGGAGACGGACTGTCTCGATCAAAAGAGATGAAAGTAGGATGAAAACTACTCACGAGACCCTCTTTTCAAATACCTCCCCCTCTCCCATTAGTCACTTCCCTGAGCCCCTTCCCTCTCTTCTCCTAACCTGGTACCCCCAAAGAGGACAATCTTGTCACCAACAATACAGCAACACTGGCGCCGGCGGGGACATGGCCCCTTCCCTTTCGGTTCAATCTTTTTCCAGGTAAAGGACACTGAAGAGAAATTTACATGGAAGTTCAACACCTGTCTAGTCCAGGTATCTTCCCTGCCCCCATCCCCTCACCTCCTCAGCATTCTTTTCTTTTCCTCCCACCTCAATTGCTCCTTGTTCCTCCCCTAAAGGCAGTGCTCTTTACCAGGATTAAACTTCCAGAGGTCATGGAAATGCCGGTTCAACCTTGCATTATAGCCACCAAAGATGTACAGCTCCCCATTGTAGCCAACTGGAAGGAGAGAGGAAAGGTCAAGAGTGTGAGGAGGGCAGGAAGGGAACTCCACGGGGAAGTAACAAACACTCACAGGCCGAGTGGCTCCGGCGCCCCTCAGGCAGCACTGGAGTTGGGGGACAGTCCAGCCAAGCCTCAGTTCTGGTGTCAAAGACGCGAATGCGGTTGCAGTAAATCTCATTGTTGGAATGGAATGGCCCAAAGCGGTCGGCACGGCCCCCAAAGACATACATGTGACTTCCCAGCATCGTGGCTGAGTGGAAGTCCCTCCAGCGTGCAGGGTTGCCCTGGGCAGAGGCAGAGAGATGGTGGAGGGGTCAGCACAAAGGCTGGAAGAGGATCCGCTCTGACTGAACTTCCTATGATTTCTTCAATGGAGGGTGGGGAGCTGGGAGAAAAAACAAAGAGCAGACCTTTGTACAGATAAGAGTCCATGTCATGGTGCTGGTATCTAGCTTATGAATGTCATTGGAAAAGCAGTCCGCCTGAGTAGGAAGAGAAAAGGAGGAAGAAGAGAGGGAGGCAATGGTCACTGACCTTTCATCTCTCCCCTCAAAACCTGCAAACAAGCCAAAGCCTCCCATTTCATCACCCTAAATTGCCCTTCCTCTTTCTCAGTCCCACCCTAAACCTCTTAGTTTCTTCCCAGACCTACCAGCTGCTCGTAGCCCCCAAAAATGTACATGATCCTGCCCAGAACACAGGCCGAATGTCCATCCCGGGCCCCAGGAACTGTCCCTGACACGCGGGGTGTGAACCACTTGTGAGTATCTGAAGGAGATGAGAAAATGACTCAAGTTAGCACCCTCTATGACAGTCCCTCTTGAGCTCTGGGGTACTCTACTCCCCAAGACCCCCAACCCAAGCTTTTCTCAGGCACCCGAGGCAACACTGGAAGGACACAGCCCCTCTGAGAGCCATACTCACTGACGTCAAAGGCATAGAGCACATTGCAGGCCCCTTCGGTGTCATTCCGCCCGCCCCAGAGGAAGACGGTGTCGTCGATGAGGACAGTCGAGTGTCCATACCGCATGTAGGGAACCACAGGAGCTTTCCCACGGATGGCAGGCTTCACCGGGGGCAGCTTTGTCCAACGCAAGGACACTGTGGGCATAGCTCTGCTCAGCCCCGGGAACCTCCCTCCAGGTTGTCCACCTTTCTCCAAACCAGGTATTCGTCCCCAGTCCCCTTGGCCCCAGAGACCACAGCCAAAGCTCATTCAGCAGCCCATTTCCCTCCCTGATGTGGGGACCCAGGGGACGGCTCCAGCACTGGCTTACCTGCATTGAAAATATGCACATCTATCTGACGCAATGTCTCATAGTCTTCACCAGAGCAGTAACCCCCGAAGGAGTATACCCGATGCCCGACAGCCACTGCAGCATGGTTCACCCTGCGGGGCCCGCCCTCCAGGTGCACTGTCCACCGTAACATCCCCTGGGCCACTGGTTACAGCAACATGCCCCCCCGGCACGGCCTGCTGCCTCTGCTACCTGCACACAAATTGGGGCCACAGGATCCCTCAGGCAGGTCTTCTGCCCGGCTCACTGTGACTCTGCCCAGAACCAGCCTTTGCCTCCAAGTGTCACCCTGGTGGCCCTCCCACACTACCCCTCCACAGGGAACTAGTCACAGCTCAGGTGGCTGGCCCTGCCCCAGGGGAGCTGCCGAGGTCAGGGAGCTAGCTCTGGCCCAGTGTTCTCCAACAGTGAAGGGTGGGGCTGCTCCAACCTGATTGCCAGCTCAGAATCTGCTGATCATGTTCACTCCCTACTCGTGGCGGCTCCACTCTATCCCTGGCTTGGCACAAACTTCATGCCCCCTTCCCAAGCTGGGTATATTCTCTTGTCTCTGGCTCTGCTCTGCTTACTGCCACCTCTCTAAGAATCTCTGTGTTCTTTAAGGTGGGGAAAGGGATCTCAAAATACTCACAGCTATTAATAGCTCAGCCAGCCTCAGACAGTCCATTGAAAGCTGGCATGAGTGTCTCAAAGCAGAAAAGCTTTCAGGTTTTTAGAGTGGAACAATCCCCCTACCCATGATAGGGTGGGATTGATCCAGGACAGGGACCTCCATGTTGCCATAGTTGGTTAGCCCCTCACAGGGAGCTCTTGTCAAGCTGGGTTGTTGTCACCGGGGTCACCCAGGGCCCTCCAAAGGCACAAGGAGTTCCTTTGACAGCTGTGCCTGGTATGCTTCCAGGACTTAAGCCAGGAAGGTATGTGTATCGTTAGGCTTGGGGGATGGGGATAGAGGAAGGGGTTTTCTCCTTCTGCCACTTCCCCATCCCTGCTATTGTGATAGAGAACAAGTCATTTCCAGTAGAAAAGAGAGAGAAAGCTCTTCCAAAACTTGGGTTCCTGAAAGGTGGATAGGGGTGGAAGTGTGCAATGGAAAGGGGAAGGGAGGCAAAAATGTCCTTGGGCAGGACAAGAGAAAGATCCAGCATGAGTGGTCGTGGTCTCAAAGACAACCTGCCAACCTAGTGGAAGGTACATCTGGGTACATCTGAGGGTTCTTTCAGGCAAATCCTTGCAACTGACAATGCTTTTGCTGGCAGGCATCTCCTGAGTTTGGGTGGATCATCTGCTCCCTGTTTAAATAGCCCTGGCAGAGGGAAAGGCCAGGCAAAACCTCAGGCACAAAAACAGCTCAAATAAGGGAGGCCCCGTGCAGGAAAGAGACATGGCTTTCAGCTGGCTTGCTAGTCCCACCCACCCAACCTCCCCCAATTCCACACCCCAAGCTTTAAATAGCAATGGGGCCCATCCTCAAATAGCCCCAGCAGGAAGCTACTCTCACTTCATTACTCCCGCTCTCCAAAATATCTTGGGTTTGGGCTTGTGGAGACTGTTAGGAGGTCGACGGGCTTAAGAATGGAAGTCTTCCATTCTCCCTTACATCCTCTATTCCTCCCTTCAGATATGTCAAAGTAAAGTAAAAAAATGCACAGAAAAGATAAGCAACTCCAGGCAAAGGTGGAGGAAAAAAAAAAAATAGTTTCTCTTCCATAAGAATAACTCAAATTCAAAGAGAATAAGCCCCCAGGGTCTGAGGGGCTCCTCTTATGCCTGGGTCTCCCCAATCCTCCGTCGCCACCAAGCATTTTCAAGCTTCTTCTATTCCCTTAATTTATCTAACCCCCTGGTCTCTCGCCTTTTTTATTCCCCCTTTCTCGCCCTTCTCGATCTCGTGAGAGCTTTGCAGTTTTCTCGTTTTTCCTTCTACCACTCCAAGCTCCACCCAACAGCCCTCCATTTTCCCACCTCCACCAAGGAAAGAAAAATTAACATGCACTGACCACGTATATCCCTCCCTGCCTGTGACTCTATCCCTGTCTTCTTGCAGACATTCAAGCCTCCCCTCGGCCCACCACGACAGACTCCCCTCCCCTTCCATTATGCTCAGCTTCCCTGTTTTCATAGCTCAGTCTTCCTTCCAATTTCCTTCAGTGCTTCCTCCAGCCACCAGGTCTCTCCTACCCACCTCCTCGCCATCCTCCCCCAGCCCCACTTTCCCCATTAACACTCTCCTTTCCCATCATCCCCCTAGCTCCCTCCCCACCCCCACCACCTCATCACTCTCAGCCCCTCCCCCGCGACTCCAGCTCTAGACAGGGCGTCCTCAGCCCCCCAATTCTTCCTTGCCCTTCCACCCATCCCAGGCTACCTGCCAGGCCGGGCCGGGGCGGGGCCGCGGGTCCTCGCGCTGCCTGCAGCCTAGAACCCGTTGCGCGCCAACCGACGCCTTAGTCCCCAACGAGATAAACACAGCCAAGCTCGGTTCTTCCGGCGGGCAGCTGTGCGCGCACGTGCAGTCGCAGTTAAGCGCCCGCGGCCTTCCGGTACTTGTAGTCCACCTGTTTCTTGAGAGACGAGAGGGCTGAGGAATGGGCAGGGGCGTACGATTCTGCGCATGTGCAAATGTGTCCAGACCGAAGGGGCCACTGGGTAATGCAGTCCTTTGTTTTCTGGGCTGGGCATGACGGAGGGAGGGCAAGGGGCGGACTCCTGATCTTCGCTAGCATCAATCATGAGCATGAGGCGGAGCTGAAGGACTAGGCACCTCTGCGCGTCCTGCCCCGCCGGAAGTGAAGGCCACGGGCTTTGAGCGGGTGAGGCGCGCGGGGCCACCGGCGCCGGGATTCGGGTGGGGGCGAGGAGGGGGACGCCGCAGCTGGGACCATTTGAAGGGAGCCCATGGGGCCTGAAGGGCATTTGTCAGGCGGTACAGAGGGGGACCTCTAGGAGAGGGGAGAAGGGGGCGGGTACGCCCTGTTAAGGAGAATCTGGTGACCCAGAGTTCCCAAGTCGCGGGGGAGGCGTGGCGGGGGAGCCGGTATTCTGGAAGGGGTGTCTTAGGAGATGGCAGGGCCTCCGGTTGGGCGTTTAAGTAGGAACTGGCGGAGCAAGGCTGTGGGGCCTGGTTCGAGATAAGAGCCCGGACTCAGGGGTAGGAACGAGAGGCTGGAGGGGGACGGGGGGTGGAGGATGCAGGAGCCTCGGGGAGGAGCTAGTTTTTTGCACGCACGAGACCACAAGGAGATGATGATGAGAGGATGAAGATGAAGATGGGCCTGGTTTCATCCAATCCCTGTCCTCCCGCCTCTCTGTTCTTGCAGCCCCTGCCCGGATGGCAACAGTAGTTCTAGGGGGAGACAGCATGGGCCCTGAGCGTATCTTCCCCAATCAGACTGAGGAACTGGGGCCACATCAGGGCCCTTCAGAAGGCACTGGGGATTGGAGCAGTGAGGAGCCTGAGGAAGAACAGGAGGAAACTGGGTCTGGCCCAGCTAGCTACTCCTACCAGCCCCTGAACCAAGATCCTGAACAAGAGGAGGTGGAACTGGCACCAGTCGGGGATGGAGATGTAGTTGCTGACATCCAGGATCGAATCCAGGTAGGGTGGAGGGGGGATGGTTCCTCAACAGGTGAAGCTGGGCTCCCTGGAAGCCTGGACCCAAAGGGTCTTCTCTGGCTCTGCAGGCCCTGGGGCTTCATTTGCCAGACCCACCATTAGAGAGTGAAGATGAAGATGAGGAAGGAGCTACAGCGTTGAACAACCACAGCTCTATTCCCATGGACCCAGGTAAAAGAGATAATTCTTTCATTCTGGAATAATTACTAAGGAAATGAACTGGCTTGAGTCAGTAGAAGGAAGTTTCAGATGGAAGACCCTATTCCTAAAAAGATAGTTTGTAAACTAAGATTTTGTGGACTTCGGAGTCCAAGTGAAATGCTCATCTGCTAGCTTTGGGGATAGGCAGGCTGGCCTAGAAAACAAGATGGATTTGGTGACCCGCCCAAGGGCTCTGGGTTAATTCAGGGATTGGGGAGGGGAGCTAGTCCCGTTATTTCTGTCCCTGACTGGCCTCTGGCTCTGATTTCAGAACATGTAGAGCTGGTGAAAAGGACGATGGCTGGAGTAAGCCTGCCTGCGCCAGGGGTTCCTGCCTGGGCTCGGGAGATATCGGATGCCCAGTGGGAAGATGTGGTACAGAAAGCCCTCCAAGCCCGGCAGGCATCCCCTGCCTGGAAGTGACCACAGTGAGAGCTGCCTTATCTTCCTACATTCCAGGCCAGAACCAGCACAGGACTGAACACATCCCTGTTTGTAATGTCCATTTCCATCTTCCCCATCTCCCTTTCCACATCAAGGCACATCAGGCTTCTCAGAGACCCACTTTATTCGGTTCTGTACATATGGGGACATCAGCCCAAGCCCAACCCACCTTAGCATGTATCACTCTGTGGAGAATAAAGCACCCTATGTACACAGCCAAAAGCCGCACTGTCTGTGCCCCTGGAACCTGGGTTCAGCCCTCCTCAGTCCCTTGCCCCTCCAGGGTACCTACAAGGGACAAGAGAGGGCCTGCCCAGCATAGCACAAACAAGGAAATAAATAGGTGTTGCCAGGAGCCATGTTTGGGGCATTGCTCCCTGCTTCCTTCTTTCTAGTTTTGGGAACGCAGTCAGCCCCAGGGTGGTCCCTTCCATGTCTTGTGATCCCAGGGCTGCTGCTCACCAAAGACAGGGCATGGGGTAAGGTGTTTGTTCATCCCTCCCTGGCCCCACCTAGCCAATCTGGGCCCTATATCCATCAGTTACTGTCCACAGCCTATACTTTTCTCCTTTTGACCTCCCTTGGTCAGGCATCGGGTAAGAGGAAATAATACAACCCTATCTGCCAGCACATGGCTGGGGCTGGGGGCGCCTATTTGTGCTGCAGGGGATTGGCTTCCCTCCAGCTACTCCAGGGGCAAATGGGGCCTGCCTAACCTTGGTGAGAATAATCTCCAGCTGTTCCCTACATGCCTCTGCAGTGGGGAGAGAGGAGGGGAGACACCTGGCGTTCAAATGAGGATGAAGGGAAGAATAGAGGAGCATTATGTATTCCTGTGTATACTTCTCAGAGCAGCCTCAGGTAGCTGTGGGTGAGGAGCAGGTAGGGGACAGGCATCCCCAGGTTGTCTGAGCACTGAGCATCTTAGTGCTCAGCCTGTATTAGCCACAAGGAGGCATGAACACCTTTTGAGGAGAAGAGGGACCACTCTGTGGGTGTCCCTGCTTCAAGTGCCCACATCCCCCTCCCTAGAGTAGCTAGAGAGACGCTGCCTTCCCCCAAGTCAGCCAGTAGGGAGCAGAGTGTGGAGGGCCAGGGCAGTGTCCCAGGGCAGAATGGGCTGTGGCCCTGTGGTAGGAAGGTGAAGGGGTCAGAGAGCCTCCTGGCTGGCAGTTAGGAACTCTTCTGCCCGCTTGTGCGCCTCCAGTGCCTTGATGGTATACACATCCTGGGGCAGCTCCGACTTCCTCCGCAGCAGCACTTTCTCCTTCTTGATGTCTTTTAGCATCTGTGTGTGAATAGGGACGAGGAGGAACAGTGACCAATTCCCAGTGAATTCTATTGTTTCCTCCCCTTATTCTTTGGCTCTGCTGTCTTTGTCTCCTCTCCCTTCCAGAGCTATTATTTCTGCTCCACCCCCCTACATTGCGCTCCCACCTGCACAGCCTCAGTCTCCACAGTCCTCTTCAGAAGCTGGATGTCCTCAGCTGTAGGGGTCTCTGTCTCCATGGAGTACACAGGGGGCAGTGGTGGAGGAGCTCGAAACATGGGATACTGAGTGAGAGGAGACATGGACAGCAGTGAGAGCCCCTTCACTGACGTGGGAGCCTGTGTGCCTCATATTCCTCCCCCAACACACTCTTCCCCCAGCTCAAGATGGGCTGGCCCCTCAGTTCACAGCACTGGCAGGAAATCCTCACCTGGGGATTAAGCCGGGCCAGCTCCTCAATTTTTTGCCACATCTCTTCCCTTTCCTTCATTCGGAACCGGCCCCTGAGGAGCAAAAAAGTAGGATTGGGGATGGGCTTGAGAGACAAAGTGAGCTGGTGGTAGATGAAAGTCTCCCAGGGAGAGAGTACTCACTTCTGCTTCTCTGCCTTGTATTGTTGTGTGCAGTCATCAAACAGCTTCTGATTCATTTCCATAAACAGCTTCAGGGCATTATAGATCAGTCCATGGATTGTCCTGCCACCAGGAAGAAAGATGAGGTGTAGGAGACCAGAGCCTGCCCTTAGCATGAGGAACCCAATTTTTTCTCTCGCAGGGGTATCTCTGCTAAGAGCTTTCATTTACTACTTCCAGTTCACAAACCTCTATGCAGAATCAGAAGATAGCTCTGGCCAAATCATTTGGTTTGAGATTGGCATTTCATGGTCCACCTGTCCATGCTTCCCTCACCCCATTCTCCAAGGCCTGCCTGCCTCCCACCCTTTCCCACTCTCTAACCCACACTAATGGCCTCCCAGCAGCATGACAGACTGCATCTATACCACACCGGGCTTGCTTTTAGCAGAAAAGTCCTTTCAAAGCCCTAGGATTCTTTTTTTGTTTGTTTGTTTTGAGACGGAGTTTCGCTCTTGTTACCCAGGCTGGAGTGCAATGGCGCGATCTCAGCTCACCGCAACCTCCGCCTCCTGGGTTCAGGCAATTCTCCTGCCTCAGCCTCCTGAGTGGCTGGGATTACAGGCACGCGCCACCACGCCCAGCTAGTTTTTTGTATTTTTAGTAGAGATGGGGTTTCACCATGTTGACCAGGATGGTCTTGATCTCTTGACCTTGTGATCCACCCGCCCCGGCCTCCCAAAGTGCTGGGATTACAGGCTTGAGCCACCGCGCCCGGCTCTTTTTTTTTTTTTTTTTTTTTTTTAAGATGGAGTCTCACTCTTGCCCAGGCTGGAGTGCAGTGGCACAAAATTGGCTCACTGCAACCTCCACCTCCTGGTTTCAAGCGATTTTCCTGCCTCAGCCTCCTGAGTAGCTGGGACTATAGAGGCATGCCACCACGCCAGCTCATTTTTGTATTTTTAGTAGAGACAGGGTTTCCCTATGTTGCCAGGCTGGTCTCGAACTACTGAGTTCAGGTGATCCACCTGCTTGGGCCTCCCAAAGTGCTGGGATTACAGGCATGAGCCACTGTGCATGGCCCAAAACCCTGGGATTCTTTACACATACTCTCAAAGAGGGTCACATCAGCTTCTTGCAGCATAGAATTATGTTTCTAAAGTTGTGACAGGACCTGCAGAATAGCTGACCCTAAGGAGTGGTGTAACACAGGTTGCTGTCCTGCTGTTTGTTATCACAGAGATCTTGCACAGAGGCATCTTTTGGCTCTAGTCTGCCCCTCAAAGTCCTATCAACATGCAGGGGACACCAGCCCCACTTGGTGGGTGACCAGGTGAGACCCCTGGCTCTTTAGTTCTTCTATACCCTCAAAAGTTTTCCTAACTGGATCTCCTCCCAGCCCCTTTCCCCACCCCACCCCCAGCGCCTTACTTGTTCCAGTGGCTCTTGGAGTTCCTGTAAAGTGCAGGAAACATGATGGGAAGGACTCGGGCTGCATTGTCACTTATCAGGCTCATGATGTACTCATTGTTCCAGTAATAGAGAGCACGC